TTCTATTTTCTAATGGGGGGACTAGAGTTCTATTTTCTAATGGGGGGCTAGAGTTCTCTTTTCTAATGGGAGGACTAGAGTTCTATTTTCTAATGGGGGGACTAGAGTTCTATTTTCTAATGGGGGGGAGCTAGAGTTCTCTTTTAATGGAGGGGACTAGAGTTCTATTTTTCTAATGGGGGAGGACTAGAGTTCTATTTTCTAATGGGGGGCTAGAGTTCTATTTTCTAATGGGGGGCTAGAGTTCTCTTTTCTAATGGGAGGACTAGAGTTCTATTTTCTAATGGGGGGACTAGAGTTCTATTTTCTAATGGGGGGACTAGAGTTATATTTCTAATGGGGGGCTAGAGTCTCTTTTCTAATGGGGGGACTAGAGTTCTATTTTCTAATGGGGGGACTAGAGTTCTCTTTTCTAAGGGGGGGACTAGAGTTCTATTTCTAATGGGAGGGCTAGAGTTCTATTTTCTAATGGGGGACTAGAGTTCTATTTTCTAATGGGGGGACTAGAGTTCTATTTTCTAATGGGGGGGCTAGAGTTTCTTTTTCTAATGGGGGGACTAGAGTTCTCTTTTCTAATGGGGGGGCTAGAGTTCTATTTTCTAATGGGGGGACTAGAGTTCTATTTTCTAATGGGGGGGCTAGAGTTCTCTTTTCTAATGGAGGGGGCTAGAGTTCTATTTTCTAATGGGGGGGACTAGAGTTCTATTTTCTAATGGGGGGGCTAGAGTTCTATTTTCTAATGGGGGGCTAGAGTTCTCTTTTCTAATGGGGGGACTAGAGTTCTATTTTCTAATGGGGGGGCTAGAGTTCTCTTTTCTAATGGGGGGGCTAGAGTTCTCTTTTCTAATGGGGGGACTAGAGTTCTATTTTCTAATGGGGGGACTAGAGTTCTATTTTCTAATGGGGGGCTAGAGTTCTCTTTTCTAATGGGGGGACTAGAGTTCTATTTTCTAATGGGGGGGCTAGAGTTCTATTTTCTAATGGGGGGACTAGAGTTCTATTTTCTAATGGGGGGCTAGAGTTCTATTTTCTAATGGGGGGACTAGAGTTCTATTTTCTAATGGGGGGACTAGAGTTCTATTTTCTAATGAGGGGCTAGAGTTCTATTTTCTAATGGGGGGCTAGAGTTCTATTTTCTAATGGGGGGACTATGAGTTCTATTTTCTAATGGGGGGACTAGAGTTCTATATTTCTAATGGGGGGCTAGAGTTCTATTTTCTAATGGGGGGCTAGAGTTCTATATTCTAATGGGGGGGCTAGAGTTCTATTTCTAAATTCTAATGGGGGGCTAGAGTTTCTATTTTCTAATGGGGGCTAGAGTTCTATTTTCTAATGGGGGGGCTAGAGTTCTATTTCTTAATGGGTGTACTAGAGTTCTATTTTCTAATGGGGGGACTAGAGTTCTATTTTCTAATGGGGGGCTAGAGTTCTATTTTCTAATGGGGGGACTAGAGTTCTATTTTCTAATGGGGGGCTTGGAGTTCTATTTTCTAATGGGGGGCTAGAGTTCTATTTTCTAATGAGGGGGCTAGAGGTTCTATTTTCTAATGGGGGGCTAGAGTTCTATTTTTCTAATTGGGGGGACCTAGAGTTCTATTTTCTAATGGGGGGGCTAGAGTTCTATTTTCTAATGGGGGGCTAGAGTTCTATTTTCTAATGGGGGGACTAGAGTTCTATTTTCTAATGGGGGGCTAGAGTTCTATTTTCTAATGGGGGGACTAGAGTTCTATTTACTAATGGGGGGGCTTGAGTTCTATTTTCTAATGGGGGGGCTTAGAGTTCTATTTTCTAATGAGGGGGCCTAGAGTTCTATTTTCTAATGGGGGCTAGAGTTCTATTTTCTAATGGGGGGACTAGAGTTCTATTTTCTAATGGGGGGCTAGAGTTCTATTTTCTAATGGGGGGCTAGAGTTCTATTTTCTAATGAGGGGGCTAGAGTTCTATTTTCTAATGGGGGTACTAGAGTTCTATTTTCTAATGGGGGGGCTAGAGTTCTATTTTCTAATGAGGGGGCTAGAGTTCTATTTTCTAATGAGGGGGCTAGAGTTCTATTTTCTAATGGGGGGCTAGAGTTCTATTTTCTAATGGGGGACTAGAGTTCTATTTTCTAATGGGGGGCTAGAGTTCTATTTTCTAATGGGGGGACTAGAGTTCTATTTTCTAATGAGGGGGCTAGAGTTCTATTTTCTAATGGGGGGACTAGAGTTCTATTTTCTAATGGGGGGCTAGAGTTCTATTTTCTAATGGGAGGGACTAGAGTTCTATTTTCTAATGGGGGGGCTAGAGTTCTATTTTCTAATGGGGGGCTAGAGTTCTATTTTCTAATGGGGGGGCTAGAGTTCTATTTTCTAATGGGGGGGCTAGAGTTCTATTTCAGTCCATTTCGTCAGTGTGTGTTTCACAGCTTCCCTATCTTTAAATTTTTAAGATTCTCCTGTAAAGATGGTGGATTTGACAGTTTCTCCCAACTTACACCTCAGGCATCTCGGGCGTGGACGGGTGTGCTTGGTGGCTGGTGCTGAGGGACTGGAGAGGACAGAGGCTTCCTTTGTGGCCACGGCCTCACTGTGTGTGTGGGAGGGGGAGGGGGCAGTGCCCTGCAGAGTATCAGAGCTGTTGACTAGCTCCCTTCTGACTGACAGCAGGTTACCTCCCAACCACAGGTAGGATGAGGTCCACCACCTTCCCACTATTAGGCCAGAGGCTGGGCTGGCTTGGCCTGGGAGTAAGCTAAGTAAATGCACTGATTCTTATCTAACAAGCGCTACTGAGACCACGCACTGTGTCACACCGGGCCAGGTGCTCTGGTTGCTGCCCTCCCTGTCCCCCAGTTCAGTGAGAGTCATCCCATCCCTGTGACTGGAGAAATCTCAGGTTAAGAAGCAGGTGTCCACTACTGGAGCACGGGGCGGGGCTCCCACTCCGGTCGGGCCGTCCTAGCACACGGATGACAGGTGAGCCACCCCACAAGGTGCCCTGGCCAGATGTCAGGTCTCTCAGATTCGCTGACAGGCCACGCGTTCCTGGCTGCTTCTGCCCTCTCCATTCAAGAAGGTGGCCTGCGGCGTTTGTCTGGCCCAGGAGGCGGTGGCCGGTGAGAAGCAGAAGCCGGCGCAGGACCGCCCCTTCCTGTTCGTGGGTGGGGGGGAGCCCGGGCAGAGGTCTCCAGAGCTACCCCAGCGCCCACCTCAATCCCTGGTGCTTGCCTCGCCCTGACCCAAGTAAAAACATTCAAACGTAGGTGGCAATAGTTGAAAAGCAGTGACGTCACATAAACATGCGACTTCTTTGCACACCTGGCAGCGCTGGGCCGCTCGTCCCCCCCCCCCCCCCGCCCCGCGCGCCTCCTCGTGCCCACCGCTGCCTGCGGATCAGCACGTGGGCACTGCGCGGCGTTTCCCACGGCTCACCGGGGGGCATGCCCGCCCTCCTGCGGCCTGTGGGGCCCTGGAAGCCGCGCAGCTCCGTCACGCCCGCGCGGGACCGCGGGACAGGGGGTGGGGGGCGGCCCGACACCGCAGGCTAATGGTAGTTTCCACGGCCACGCATGACGTTAGAAAGGCCCCAGTAGCCCGGGCACAAAGAAGGTCCCCCCACTGCGGGAAAGCGAACCAGTTTCTCGCAGTCTAAGTGGGGTAAGAGCATGCAAGGCCCCACGTCTGGGGAGAAGCCCGAGAGAGCGTTGCCCCGGCGCAGGTGGAGCCGGACTCGAAGTGTTTCCGTGGAATGAAGTGCGTGGGGCGGGGTGGACGCCTGCGGCAGCGAAATGAAGCAAAGGCCTTGCTCGTGAACAGCCGGCTGCCCCACGCCCTTCCCGTGAGACGCAGGAGCGAACGTGGCCGTGCTCAGGGGCCCCTGCGTGTCAGGGGCACAGGGCACCCGGCTGGACGCAGCAGTGCTGGTGCCCACGCGTGAGGACACAGCACAGCCGGGGGCGCACAGGCTGCTGCTGGCAGCCCACGTCCAAGCCCCGCCCTCACCCTCAGGGCTGTGTAAGCCGGGGTACCCCACCTGACCCCAGGGTGTGAGGAGGTCAGAGGTCGGTCTACGTAGCACAGCTCGGAATTGCCCGCAGGGGGAATGCTCGGGACTGGTCGAAGAATGAAAGACGTTCATTTCTGCCCGTGCACTTGGATGAGCCTCAACAATCTCATCACGTTATTCACGCGCTAGAAAGGGAGTTGGTGGCTTGACAGTCACGCAGTGTCCAAGGGAAGTGCGGAAGCACGTGGGCCTGGAGCTGGGGGAGCCGGTGTGGACCAAGTGCGCTCAGGGGCTGCCGCTTGGCGGGGTCTGTGCACGTCCTGTAACTTAACAGAAGGCAGCATCTTCTGAGTGAGCCCCTCCACAGTGATGTCACCACCCGAGTGACTTTGTGGGCAGCAGACACCGAGTGCTTTCAGCTGCTGCACCTCTCCCTGACCGGTTCCGCGTTCACCACGGCGCCGGGAGCCCGGTGGCGGGTGTGGATAAAGGAGCACATGTCTGTCCTTATTGCAAGTCTGTGTTCTAAATATGTCGATACGTGTATTTCAGTGTTAACCGGTTTCTTTTGCAAGCCTACATACTTAATTTTGGGCATTTAAACAGTGCTGTTCTGAGAAGAGTCATAGGCGTCCCCAGACCCAGGGGCGTTCCCGGCACACACAGTGACTGGACTGAGCTGGGACTGGGGAGGAGTGTCCTGACCTGCCCGAGGTCGTGGGAACTACCAAGGAGTGGGGAGCCAGAGGAAGCAGCCCCCCGGCCCCAGACTTATAGGCCTGGGTCTGTGGGCAAGCTTTGCTTCTGTCTGTGCTGTGTAGGGGGCTCCAGTGCTGGGTGAACACCGGCGTTCGCGGTGGGTCCTCTCCACTCTGGCACAGGCCGGGGTGCTGGGCCTCCTGCCCCCCTGCCCTCAGATGGGGCCCGAGAGGAGCTCAGCGGCTTGGTGCTGTGCCGGTGGCTTCCTCCCTCCCATCACGTGGGGCTGGTTCCTGTCCCCGGGAGCCTGGGTCACAGGGCCGCCCGCGCCTGCCCTGAGAGGAGCCGGGGCCAGAGAACCGGCATGGGTGCAGCCGCCAGCACGCTGAGCTTCGTCCTCCTTCTCCTGGGTGAGTGAGCAGCTTACAGCGGGGTCGACGTTCCTCTTCTGTGCCAGGGGTGCCACCGCGCGCGGGGAGCTGGGTGAGCATTCGCCCACTCGGGTGCAGTCCCTGAAGCGTGATTGTGTCCCTGTGGACAGATGGCCTTTCTCATTTTGACTGGGCAGTGAGCATCGCTCTGGTCCGTTTCATTCCAGCTGCAACTCTCAGATGCTCTGGGCCAGGGGAGAACAGGGACGGCCGTGGGCGCGGAGCCCAGACCCAGCAGCTCTAACTGCGGACAGCGTCAGGCCCTCTGAGCATTCGTTTCTGAGCCAATAAAGTGGGTGATGATAACGTGGACCTGTTAGGATAGTGGGGACATTAACTTAAATTTAATCAAGTCAAATCAAAATAATTGCACGAGATGAGAAAAGGAAGGTCTGTCGATGCTCCTCTGCAGCTAGTGGGAAGTCTGTCCTGGAGGAAAGTGGGCCTAGTCCCCCGAGGCGTCTTTGTGTAGGGTCGTCTGTAACCCTGTGCATCAAAAGCAGGAGCAGCGAGAGAGGCAGAGGCCAGTGAAAAAGTGCAGCCAGAGAAACAGAGGGAGAAACCAAGGACATAGAGAAGGGGACACAGATGATAATTAGAAGCATGTGTAGGCAGGCAGGCAGGCAGGCAGAGGAGGAAAGAGCCACGCAACTTTGCAAAATTCCCTTTGACGTCAACTGTTATTTCTTAAAAGGCGGCGGACAGTCCTCTTGTACACAAAGATGCCCTTTCCCAGAACTTGCACTGGGTCAAGACTCAGGCGGGCCGTCGGTCTCTAATTTCATCCTCTGTCTCCAGAGTGATAGTCTGTGTCCCACACCTGGCAAAGGTACCCGACGGGCAGGACTCCGTCTGAAGCCTGCAGCAAACCCAGCAGAAAACAGACAGACAGCCACGGCATCTATCAGTTCACACGTGAAAATGGTCCCTGACCGTGGCACCAGGGGTGGCCAGCGAGCAAGCACTAAGGGCCTGCAGAGCAGCTGGTGCAGAGCGCGCTCAGTAAAGGTGCACAAGTTCCACCCTCTGCTTCTGCTTTTGACCTATTTAGATAATCTGTCCGGGCGGCGGGGCGGGGTCAATTTAGGGGACCCAGAGGAAACGTGCGGCTGGTACAAACAGGCAAGCCACTGGGGAATTACCGACAGTGATCTTGAAAATGCTCGAGTTCAAGATGACAAGGGAGCAGAACGCCCAGATCTGGGGGTGCTCCCTCGCCTGCTGGGCGCAGCCTCTGCACACACGCCCCCCCGCCCCCAGGCCCCTCGCCAGCTCTGCGGAGCGGGCCCCACTCTCCTGCATTTGCCGAGTGTGGCTTCCAGTACTTGGCCGAGATGTCCCAGCAGTGAGTGCTTTCAGAAACGCCAGCAGAGGTAGCACTGGTGAGGGGCCCGCCTCTGCTCTACCCCGGGCACTAACCCTTGCTCCACTCTGCCCAGCCCAGCGGCGGGCAGGTTGCTCTTCTCCTTTGGGTGCAGTGTCCCCCTCGGTAACCTGGGGGTGATAACAGCACCCTCCTCACAGCGCTGCGGAGGGACTGGCCCTGCCTCCGGGGGAGCACAAGCCAGTGCCTGGCAGGAGGGGCGCGCTCACTGCTGGGTGTTCAGGGAACCAACTGATCCAATCTTCCCAGAAGGCCCTTTGGCAATAACCCAGACATTTCCACTTCAAGGTTTATCTTAATGAAATGTTGGAGCAAATGCGCCCCGAAATATTTCACAGAATGTCATTCACACACTGACCACAGTGAGAACCAGAAACAAGTGGTTGTGAGTCGGAAGCTTGCGAAGCCAGCTGTGCTCTGAGGTCTCCAGCACTCCAGGATGGTTAAGGGGAGACAACTCCTTGGGACGGACAGACAGAGGGACAGACAGAGGAGGAACACAGAGGGATCCTTTCCAAGCAGCAGTTACACAGCAGTTACACTTTCCTCCCTTTGCTTTCTGATCCAACCCTCGCTGGAAGGGAACCTAGCAAATGGCTAATAGTGTCCTTTATTCCTTAGGAGATAGGCCAGCAGGTATTCTTCAGTTCTCTGTATTGACATTTTTCATAATGATCACATATATTCTTAATTCCAATAAATACATTTCTATGAACAAAGCAACAACATGGCAGCTATTGAAAGCAGTCAGGAGAAGGGCGTCCCCTTGTGGACTGGCGCAGGGACCGAGGGTGTTATCGGGTGCACCTCACTAATGAATGGCCTCTGGGGGCAGGTGTGAGAGTTGTGGGTGAGGGGTGAGGGGCTCAGCGAGGAGAGGAGAATCTCTGCCTGCCACCCCAATGATATCCAGGCTCTCCCCCACACAGAGTAACTGGAAAATTTGCAAAACCAGTTTTTGAATATTCTAAAAATATTTTTTAAAACTGAGATCAATGTAACAAACATTTATGGAACCAATACCATGAATGAACACGTTTAAATATGTGGTTGTTTTTAAGACATATATATTTAAAAGTATCTAGAGGACAAATTTACATATTCATCAAAGAAACGACATCAGAGATGGAGCTGGAGCCCTTCGGGTCCCCTCCTGCACTGTCTTGTGTCCCTCTGTCCTCTGCAGAGGGCACGGCACCCGGCTGCGGGCTTCGGCTGCACGTCCTCCCTGTGCTACTCTCTAGGTTTGAAGACTTGACCTGAAAGCGCCTGACACCCCCACAGGCTGCCACCCCGCCTCCCCGTTCTCACAGCGCGGGCCACACGCTCTCACTGAACTGCCTGTGACGACGGTCTCGACACTACGTGTAACTTAGGTGTCCGTTCGGGTGCTAATGGGTTGACGTTTCTAGCTTTTCACGCGGCTGCCGTCTCGGTCCTCTGTCCCAGACTCAGGTGCAGCTGTGTGGCTGGGAGACCACCTGCAAAGGAGATGCGGTGCCCTGGGTTTTGCACAACCTCCTTCTATTGGATGTTGCCAAATGCTTTCGCCGGGGGGTCTGGACATAGTGTCTCTCTACAGATTTAGTAATACTTGATATTATCAGACTTCTCATTCTTTGCCAACCAGCTGGAGGATTATAAAACATAACTGCTGCCCAGCCGGTGTGGCTCAGTGGTTGAGCATCGACCCATGCACCAAGAGGTCATCAGGCACATGCCCAGGTTGTGGGTCAAATCCCCAGTGGGGGGCATGCAGGAGGCGGCCAATTGATGTTCTCTCTCATCAATGTTTCTATCTCCCTCCCCCTCTCCCTTCCTCTCTCTCTCAAATCAATAAAGAAAAAAAAATTTTAAATAATAAAAAAATAAAATATAACTTCCAACTTTTCAGGTTATGTGTTCCCAATTACTAGTGAGAATAACCATTTTTCCTATATTTATCAGACAGCTATCTTTTTTCCTGTAAATTCCGTGTTAGTTTTATTTGGTGATTGGTCTTTTGTGTATTTTTTTCTGGATATTAATTATTTGTCTGTGTCATGTGTTGCAAATATTTGCAAATATCTTCTCTTAGTGACTTGTTTATCTTTTATCTTTGTGGTATTCTTTGCTCCGCAGAAGTCTCTAAATGTGATACAATCAAATTTATCAGAGAGAGAAAACAATTTTTCTGAGCCATTTGAAAGTAAGTTGTATACAACATGATTTTTTAAAACCTCTAAATATAGTAATGGGCCTTTCTCTAGAGATAATCTCGTATGTAACCACAGTAAAGTTATCCACTTCAGGAAATTTAACGTCGATAAAATACTGTTACATAATCTATCAGAGTCCAGTATTTTCAGTGCCCCCACAAAGCCCTTTGCTTTCACTACCTTAGCAGAGAAGCCGGAGGAGGGTCGGGCACTGCCTTAGGTGACCGTGTCTCTCTAGCCTTCTTTCATCTGGGACATCTCCACAACCTTTGTTTGTCATTTAGGACATTAATATTTTAGAAGCTCCCATCCTCTTTTCACACAGAACGTTTTTCACAGAACATGTGGGGATTTGAAAGACATCCTAATGATTAGGTTCCGGTCAACCATTCCCCACCAGAAAACCGCGCCACGGCCTCGAGTCCTGCAGGGTTTCCCGTCTGGAGCGGTAGGACCCCTGTCCGAGAAAGGCTGGTGTTCTTTTGACATAATGATAGAAGACTTGCCACTAGGTTTTGAACTGTGGTCGTCACACTACTAAATAAACAATTTGTGAACTATCAACTGATCAATATTTTTAAATTTTGCTAAAATCTTGCTCTAAGAATAGCTATTGAAAAGATCTGGTAAAATTTCTAGACATTTTATTAGAGTTTTCACTTTCCTTTTTAAAGAGCTGACATAAAATATTCCTATGGACTCTAATTCCAACCAAAATGTCAGCCATCTGTCTCCATTTTAATTCCTCTGGAAAGCACCCGCTGAAATCTATGTATTACTATAATCACGTTAATAAAAGAAATACAATATCACTTTAATTATGTTCTAGTTGCCTAAAACATTCTTCATTAAAGGAGCCAGAGTTATTGAAGAGAACAGTCTTCTCCCTGCCCTTAATTCATAATGAAAAGATGGCAGAGGCAGGGTAGAGAGAATTAAATTCGTTTTTATCTTACAAGTCAAAGTCATCACTTTATTCCTTGGCTCGGAGTCCCTGAGATCTTTGTAGAAATCGTTGCTGACAGCTTTTCCCCTGCTCCGGGTTCCTGCCAAGACCACAGGCTCAGATCCTGTGCTGTGTGGATTCCAGGGAGGAAGACTCTTGATGAATTGTTTTCTTTTCCTCTGTAACAAAGCACACATGTAACAAAGAAGAGTAACAGGCCAGGGTCTCTCAGGAAGTCCCAGAGGGTGAGGAGGCAGGGGCCCCAGGCAGCAGGGAGCCATTTCCCGACAGAGCAAGGGTTCTCCGGGGCTTTGCTCCTTTTCTGATTCGATTGCTTGTTTTTTCTTTCCTATTGAATTTCAAGACTTCTTCATCTGTTCTGCATGAGCCCTTCATCAAATACGCAATCTGCGATCTTTGCTCCCAGTTTCTTTCCCTGTCTGTCATTCCC